ACCATGGGCAACCCCAACACCGAGACCGTCAACCCTAACATGGAACCTGTCAACCCTGGATCAACCCTAACACGGAACCTGTTAATGCATGGACAACCTTAACATGGAACCCCTGTCAACCCCTGAGCAACCCTGACACGGAACCTGTCAGCCCTTGGGTCAACCTTAATACGGATTCTGCTGCACAGGGTTASGCAGTTGAGGTTTGGGGTTTTTCCTTCCTAAAACAGTCCTTTTGCTCAGGGAGCTGCCGGGCTCCCCTATCACAGAACCCTCCTTAAAGAAGGACAATTTCCAGCTCAATGGAAGGAGCCCGGGACCGAGGAGGCGACGCAGAAGACCCGCCTGTCCTCACATCCATGGCCTGCAGCTCCAACGGCCTCACAGAGCGCAGGCTCCTGCACAAATTAATATATTTTACATGGCAATTTCCAGTCCCTTCACCACAATATCCTCGTTATCTCTAATTACCTCCTCCCACACCCCCGCTCTGCCACAGGAAGCCTGGTGCCTCCRCACAGATGAGGCTCAGTCTCCAAATCCCAGTCTTGGGCTTAACCCTCAAACCTCCTCCCGCCTCCTCGGGGGCTGTAGGAAAATCAGGAAGCTGGAAAGAGGCACTTGGGGAAAGGCGCCGGGGCCAGGGCYGCCTCTCCAGCTGCAGCGCCGGCCGAGGCCGAACCGGCCCAAAGCCGCCAGCWACACGAGCAGCTCCCTCGTTCGTGCCGGGACCATGAGAAACAACAAGGAAAGCCGGGAATGGGCATGGGAGAAACTCGTCGCATTCCTCACGCATTTCTCTGGGACAGGGACTGATCCCATTCCAAGGCCCTTGGACCCGGATCCAGCGGCACCAGCACYGAGCAGCCACAGGCAGGTCGTGCCCTGCGACAGGGACTGACCTAACGGGCCGGTTTAAGCCCATTTACACAGCTGATCAAGTTACTGGAGTTTTAACTAGTACCTGGAGAGTGAAGATGAATCAGAGCCCCCTGAAAATCAATGACCRACCCCAGCACCTGGCCCTGATACTTGGGGTTGTCCAGCTGAGCACAGCAAGGGGAGAACCCCCAGGGCAAGAGCCCCCTTTGCTCTCACAGCCTTACGTGAGAGCTGTAAGTCTTGGTGGTCGGGCACAAAGGAAGTAAAGCACCCGGTTATTTACACATTAGCAGCAGCAAACCAAGCAACTCTTAGAATAAAACAKCCCGGAGTTTTGTTACTGGTTCCCCAGCGGAAATAATCTGAGAGGATAAAAACTTCCAGAGAGGAAGAGAGGATAAAATTCTCCAAAAGATCCAGGAAAGCCACTTGCGAGACAAGACACCCAGGAGGCTCCTCGAACAGGAAAACAGCCTCATTCCAGAGCCGAGGGGAACACTCCAGAGCGGATTCCTCAGCCTCTCTGCCTCTGCCAGGGCAGCTCTGCCACATCCCGGCTGCGACCCRCGGCCGCGCCGTTCGGTGCCCGGCCTAGGGGCCGGTTCCTCCCGCTCCGGCTCCCAGGGGAAGCTCCCTGGCCCCTCCGCCGCGTTTCCAGCGGGAGCGGCCGGGATCCGGCCACGTCTCCCCAGGGCACCGGAGCGGCCGCCGCGGCCCGGGGCCCTGCGCGGAGCAGAACGGCCGCCCCCATCCCCKCCGGCCTCCGGGACCCCCCGCCGGGCACCCCCGGGACCCCCGGCACGGGGGACCCGGCCCCGAGCGCCCCTGCACGGGGGTGCCGGCAGCCCCGGTCCCCACCCCCGCGAGGCGGGACGGGCCCGGCCCCCACCGGGGACGCCCCCGGACCTCGGCCCCCCCTCCCG